GGCAGGAGAACCATCATATTCAACCACCAAATAGATGGTGAGAAGCACTCAGACCTCAAGAATCTCGAGAGCTGCAACGGCTAGGGACTGAATCTGTCTCTATCTGGGCAGAAATCACAGATGATGCCGTTGTGGTAATAGGATTAGAACATCTTCGAGTGCACGGTGGACACACTCGTTTCCCACAGTTCACATATCCACACAAAGGAACTTAGTATTGTCTCTCTCTGACCTCTCCACCCCTTCGGAGGATGCGGGATGATTCACCTGATCCCATGGGCATCGTTGCTCAGCTCTGGGCTCCTCCCACATGCAGCCAGTTTGCCCAAAGCACATACGCTATGCTCTGGCCTGGTCCTGATCACCCAAGAGGAGACCCCTGCAGGAAGCTGGGGATGCTTGTCTAATGAGGTGAAGGAACAGCAAGACTGAGACCAATTTTTCAAATGGTTCTAACAGTCATAAAGGTGTCATTTGATCCTCAGTTCTCAGATCCTGCACTACCTCTCCATCCTGAATTTGGCAAAAGAGGTGAAAATGATTGCCCCAAATGCCAAATTGACTAAAAAATTCCTGATGTACAGGTACAATCCATATGAGATCAATGAGTCACATGGAGCAGGGAAGCCCGGACACAGAGAAGCACCACAGCCTTGGGATAAACCCAGTTTTGAATCCTGCCGGCTGAACTTATCTGAGGATTAACCGCCCTGGGCTCAGCTGACTTTATTGAAAAACAGCATCAGTCAAGGACTCTTCGTTGCAAATGACAAATCTTCCTTTAGCTAAATAGAAAAGGAACTGATTAAAGGGGATAAAGAGGTTCCCCTCAAATCTCTGAGAGGCTCCAGAGACAGGCGTCGTGAGTTGCAGTCAAATCAAAGCCTGTGTCCAAGCTCAAGACTGCTCCTGGGATGCAGCAGCCACTGTCACCAGCATCCAGCTCAGATACTAGGGGCACAACCTCTGCCCACCCTCTCTAAGCCAGGTGCCTCTACTCCACTGTGGCCAGCACATACCCTGGGCAGGGCCTCCTCCATCGCTAGCTCCCACTGCGAGACTTCCCATGGGTTCTGACTGGAGGAGGTGAGGTCCCATGACTGGCCTACTGCAAAGCATGCTGAGAAAGAATGGCTTCTACCTTAGAACCTCTAATCTCACTAAGGAGACCAGAGATGCTGGTAACCCCAAAACACAGATGTTCCCCACGTTCTCTCCGAAGAGACGCCAGAGATGGAAAGAGACAACAGCTCTGCAGGTCAAACAGCAACACCTTTATTATCTCTCCAGTGGCTCCCCAAGTCTCCCCAAGCTCATGCCTCTCCTGCCCTCCCCCAAGCACCCTTTAAAGGAGGTGACAAAGGTGGCAGTGAAGGGGGAGGAGGAGAAACACCTTTATTGGAAGAGCAGTGCAGACATGAGAAAGGGGCTGAGGGCGAGCAAGCACGGGAGGTGGGGATCCCAGGAGCCAAAGCCTTTCTTGGCAACCCCTCCAGGGGGCAGCCCAGAGACAGCCTGGCATGCCCCAGGCCCAGGCTCGACAAGGCTACAGTGCCTCAGGTGGGAGGGAGGGAGGCAGGAGGCCTGGGGCTCCGCGGAGAAGGGTGAGAAGCCACCTCCTTTCACCGATCCATGCTGTCATCCGTAGGGCTGGAGAAACAGGTCTGCAGCAGCTTTTCACAGAACTCCAGCTCCTCCTGCATGGCGGGGGAGAAGGGCGACCTGAGCAGAGGCCAGGCCCTGCCCAGCATGCACGGCAGCAGGGGCAGGTCCTCTCCACTCCTGCCCACCCGAGAAGCCACCCAGGCCTTGCTGACCACTGCTCAGATCCACGATTGGCTTTCTTTCCTCATTGGTTTCTGAAGTACTGAGCTAGAACCTGGGATTTCCCCACACCGGTGGGTTCTCAGACCAGCACCCTTAGGCCGCTCTGACTCCCCAGAGTGATTGACCTTCACTCCATACTCAAAATCCCTTCCCTAGAAACAAACCCCAGATACCAGGAAAAAAGATGAAAGACCTCCATGGCAGATAAACTACAGATAAAAAATGAAAGAAAAATAAGTTGGGGAGAAAGTGTTTGTGATTTATATGACAAAGTTCTGGCATACTTAATGCTTAAACACTTTTAAAAACTCGACATAGGGCTGAGATTGTGGCTCAGTGGCAGAGTGCTTGCCTCACATGTGTGAGGCACTGAGTTCAATCCTCACCACCACATAAAAATAATAAACGAATGAATGAATAAATGAATGAATGAATAAATAAATAAAAAGTATTGTGTCATGTACAACTAAAAACATACTTAAAATATCGAATGAAAACTCCACTCCCCAGCTGGGTGCAGTGCCTTGCCCTTGTAGTCTCAGTGCCTTGGGAGGCTGAGGCAGGAGGATGGCAAGTTGGAGGCCAGCCTCAGTAACTTAGCAAGACCCTCAGTAACTCAGTGAGACCCTGTCTCAAATAAAAAATAAAGCTGGGGGCAGCGGCCCACAACTGTAATCCTCCCCCAACTCAGGAGATTGAGGCAAGAGACTCACAAGTTCCAGGGCAGCCTAGGCAGTTAAGTAAGGCCCTAAGAAACTTAGAAAGACTGTCTCAAAAAAATAAAAAGGGATGGGGATGTGGCTCAGTGGTTAAGTGCCTCTGGGTTGAACCCGTGGTACCAAAAAATTAATAATTAGTTAATTTAATAAAATTAAAAGGGTTAAGGATGAAGGATGAAGCTCAGTGGTGGATAAATGGACAATAAATAAATGAACAAAGGATATGAATAATTATTGTTCACAAGAAAAAAAATCCCTAATTTCACTCCTGGGAGAAATGCAAGCTGGAAGGAAAAAATCACTTGGCACAGTTAGCCTGAGGTGGGCCACACGGGCAGGGAGCAGGGTGCCTGGCCAGGACAACCCGGCAGCAGCCAACAGCGCGGCCTGCACCCCCCCATCCTCGAAGCACACCCGTAGCCACGGTCCTCCTTTTCTGCCAGGGGCCCGGGCAGGGTGTTCTGGGGAGCGCTACACCACCCAGCTGCAACCCCAGCACTCCTGGGTTCTGACTTTGAGGCAGCCTTTTCCCTTCTTGAAACTTGTTCTGCAGACGTACAAGACAACGTATATAAAAGATGATTCTTATAGCAGCGTTGGTAGCAGGAGAGAGAAGAACCCGCACACCCCTTAGCGGACAGCTACCTCAGAGGAGCCAGGCACAGCCTGCAGCTGTCACCAGCCAGGAAAGAACCCAAGCACAATGCATGCTGGGAGGTGTTAGAGAAGGGAACAGGACAGGAAGTAACTGCAGTCATGAGGAGCTAATTCTGCACAAAAGAGAGGAAAAGAAGAACTATGTGCACCTCTGCTTAGATGCGAGCCTAGTATCTTAGGGAGGGTACACAAGGACCTGGAGGAGGCACAAGGCAGCTGAGGATGTGGGTAAGAGCCTTTCACTGTTTACCCTCCTCTGGTTTTAATGTTTGAATCATGTAACTGCAGATTCTGTTCAAAAAACATTACCAGGAGCCTAGCACAGTGGCCCACACCTGTAATCCCAGTGACATGGGAGGCTAAGGCAGGAGGATCACAAGTTTGAGGCCAGCCTCAGCAAACTAGCAAGACATTGTCTCAAAATAAAAAATAAAAATGAATAGAGTACCCCTGTATTCATTCAACCCCCAATACAAAAAACTTTTTAAACATCAGTAGGGAGGGGTTCACTCAATGGCACAGCTTATATTCAGCATGTATGAGGCCCTGGGTTCCATACTCAGCACAGCCCCCCCAAAAAAGGACTGACTTCAACTAGAGAATGTTGAATGAAGAATTACATTAAAATCAGATTTATACCTAGAAATCTGGAAAGATTTTCAGAACCCCCAGGAAAGAAGGCCACTGAAGACAGAGGAGAGCTGGGTTGATACGTCCACCACGAGGGACACTCTGAGTGCCAGCAACAACCAAGAGCTGGATAGCAAGGAAGAATGCGGTCCGGCCCCAGAGAAAGCGCAGCGAGCGCTGTGGGCACTGTGGCTTTAGACCCCGGGCCTCCAGAACCGTGTGAGAAAGTGAACTGATTTTAAGACATTCTGCTGACTGGGCACAGTGGTGCACATCTGCAATCCCAGGGACTGAGGAGGCTGAGGCAGGAGGATGGGAAGTCTGAGGCCAGCCTGGGCAATATGTCTCAAAATAAGAAAAAAAGAGATGGGATGCTACAGCTCAGTGACAAGTGTCCCTGGGTTCAGTCACCAGGACCAAAAACAGAAAGAGGAAAGACACCCTGTGGGCTAGGAATGTAGCTCAGGGGACGCCTGCCTGCCTAGCACTCGTGAGACCCGGGTTCCACTCCCAGCACCACAAAAGGAATAACCAAGACGCTGTGGCCGCTTGCTATAGCAGCAACGGCAGCCGGACATGGACCAGCGTCTGTCCAGGCCTGGCACACAGGCTCCCTATCACCTCACCAGTGGAAGATGGAGAAGGAAGGTCAGCCCAGCAGTACACTCTCGATACGTGCATTTATTATACACCAACTATCTCTTGATATCTATTAAAAGTAGGCAGGTGTTGTGATAACACCTGAATCCCAGTGGCTTGGGAGGTTGAGGCAGGAGGATCAAAGTTCAAGGCCAGCCTTAGCAACATAGCAAGGCCCTAAGCAAACTTAGTGAGACCCCCGTCTCAAAATAAAACATAAAAAGAGCTGGGGATGTGGCTCAATGGTTAGGCACCCCTGGGCTCAATCTCTAGTACCAAAATAAAGAAAGAAAGCTATCGAAAATCTTTA